GTTCAGCAGAAGCAAATATGATTGGTGCGTCTATTTCATAGAAGTGAGGAAAGGGTCATACATATTCCTACTCCTATATGTAGACGACATGCTCATTGCAACAGAAAATAAACAAGACATCCAACATGTTGGGTTTCCTGTGATCTCATGAGCGAATCTAATTCCTAAGAGATCGATTCTAGGGTTTACGCAGCGGATGTAAAACAAAAATTTTGATGAAACCCTAGAACCTATTATGCATGATCTTGTAGAAACGTTAGAATGCTTACCTCAATCGATCCGGGCCTGTATCAATTGATCTGTTCGTCCGATCACTGTAGGCAGGAAGAATACCTTGCCCTCTACACGTATCCACACGGCGGAAAGGATTCCAACAGTTGGAACTTGTCTGCTAGGACTGAAGAACACGTTCTTCTTTACGCAAAGGTTTCAGGGATCTTTCTCTTAGGTTTTTCACTCTCCAAACCTCTTCCTAGGGTCTGAAAATCGTGCCAAGAGCATTAGGAGGCGTTCCACTAAGTTTATCCCACTTAAAACCCTAATTAGAGCGAGTTTAGGAAATCCCGACGTCTGGACCGATCGGTCTGGAGCTTATTTTTACGTCTAGATCGATCGGTCCATGTCTGGACAGATTGGTCTGAAGCAACTTCCGGACCGAGTGACTTACACACGTTACCTCTGGACCACCGGGATTTTCTCGTCTCTTCTCGCGCATTCGTCCTTTCCTGTGTGTATGACCCTGTAGGCTCATCCGATATAGCTGTATAACACGAAATCTCCTATTTCGGTTACACAAGTCATAGGCGGTCTCTAGCAAGACACTATGACTACCTATCTCAAATAGAGTTTGTTCGTGATCCTACGAACGCCAGTGATGATTCCGTTTGATGATCCTTTTGTATCACGATATCATATGTCGAATATAAGGCATGGACAAGCTACCTTATCTGATTCGACTGCTTTCTCTTTCACTGAGTTCGACTGTCTGAAATAGACCACGTTCGTCTATAGTGCGGTCACACATTTCTACAGTCTCGCTCACACGAGGGGCCCAGCGATATCTCTCTCTTTTACGAGAGGTACAAATCCCGTCTTGACTATCTACAATCCAGCACATGATTCGTTTCGTACCTGATACACGCCTTTATAGTCCTCCTGTTACGCAGGACGTTTGACGTAATCAAAGTACGCAACTCCACATGTTGGATTCCGTAGATATCTCAGGTCTTTGATACAATCATGGAACCGTCATATGAGATTCAAGTCATGACGCTAGTCCATGTGACAATCTCATGCGGGTCAATCCAGTATTCCGTTCTCCAACGAATACCTATGATCGTGATCGTATCCAATACCTATGATCATCTATGTGATCATCAATCACACATCATACTAGTCTTATTATGTCGTTATTCCCATAACGACACAAGACTAGGGAGTTTAGTATCATTCCTAATGATACATGGATTTCATAACAGATCCAGTATGCAAGAACATGTAATGAATAAAATACTTTCATAAAACTATAGAAAGTATCAATACATCGAATGTATCTGAACAAAGCTCATAATCAGTACATCATAGAGCACTAAACCAACAATCTCCCACTTGCTCTAATCATGAACTGCTAAACATCTAATGCCCATATCCCTAACATGACCCTCATGCTTCGACGAAGGGAGAGGCTTCGTCAACGGATCGGCAATATTGTCATCTGTCGACACCCTGCAAATGTGCACGTCTCCTCTATCTATGATCTTCCTGATAAGGTGAAACCGTCTGAGTATCTGTTTGGATCGTTGATGGGATCTGGGTTCTTTCGCTTGTGCGATCGCTCCATTGTTGTCACAATACAGAACAATGGGGCTATCAGCACTAGGAATCACACCCAAGTCACCAACAAACTTCCTGATCCAAACAGCTTCCTTTGTTGCGTCCGACGCTGCAATATACTCAGCTTCTGTAGTAGAATCTGCAACGGTCGCCTGCTTGGAACTCTTCCAGCTAACAGCGCCTCCGTTCAAGCAGAAAACATAGCCAGACTGCGATCTGTAGTCATCCGGGTCTGATTGAAAACTAGCATCGGTGTAACCTCTTACAGCGAGCTCGTCTTCCGACCCACCGTATATCAAGAACACATCCTTAGTCCTTCTCAAGTACTTTAGGATGTTCTTGACGGCGATCCAGTGCGACTCACCTGGATCTGACTGGTATCTACTCGTAATGCTTAACGCGTAGGATACATCCGGTCGAGTACAAAGCATGGCATACATGATGGATCCAATTGCCGAAGCATATGGAATCCGGTCCATGCGTTCTCGCTCATCAGGTGTCGTAGGACACTGAGTCTTGCAGAGAACTGTGCCACTGCTCATCGGTAAGGTTCCTTTCTTGGAATCTTGCATCTTGAACCGTTTCACGACCTTATCGATGTAAGTACTCTGATGCAATCCTAGAAGTCGCCTCGATCTATCTCTATAGATCTTTATTCCTAGAATATAGGTCGCTTCTCCTAGGTCCTTCATAGAAAACTGCGTTCCTAGCCAAGACTTAACGTCTTGCAAGGTAGGAACGTCATTCCCTATAAGGAGAATGTCATCCACGTACAGCACTAGAAATACAATTGTGCTCCCACTGTCCTTCTTGTAAACACATGGCTCGTCCTCGTTCTGTGAGACACCAAACTTTTTGATTGTCTCATCAAAGCGAAGGTTCCAGCTCCTCGAAGCCTGCTTCAGTCCATAAATGGACCTCTGAAGCTTGCACACCATCCTCGGGTTCCTTGGATCGACAAAACC